ATGGGCGTCTCCACGCCCGCTGGGTTTTGTCCTCGTCCCCCCCTCGCTGGGCGGTCCCAGTCTGCTGCAGTCTCATCCGCAGCGGCAAGGCAAGCTGGGCCCCTGCCATCCCGCCCCGGGACCCCTGGCCTGGCCACGGCCCCCTCCTTCCCTGCTGTGCTGGGGGAATGGGGCGCCAGGGGTGCCAGAAACCGCTTTTAATCCAGCTCCCCCCGCGATGGCTGCTGCAGATACAGGCAGGAGGGGAGGCGGTGGCAGGGGAGCGTGGGGCCAGGGAGGCCTCTGCGACACCCTGCGAGCCGCTGGCTAGCCTGGGGCAAGGACAGGGCCCCTGTCGGGGCTGCTCCCCAAAAGCGGCAGCGCCCTGGGCAGGCGCGAGGCCGAGGGTTTGCAGGATGGCGCCGCCGAGCCCTTCGGCAGCTCAGACCCACTTTTCGACTTTTTTTCTGTCCCCGTTCCTGCTGCTCCAGTTTTAGGAGCCATGCAGTCCCCCGCTTTGGGTCCCAGCAGGGTTTCTGCTTAAAAGCAGCCTGATCTTCCCTGCACTGCCCCGCCCCACTGCTTTAACCCCCCCTCCCTGCTCTGGGGCAGGGCGGGGGGCAGCACTGGGAGGGGGTCACCCCCCAAAACCGGCATCACAGGGCAAGAGGAGGATGCAAGCAGCTTGGCTGGGTGTCCAGACCCCCCCACTGCTGAAATCCCCTCCCATGACCCCCAGCCCTTTAAAAAAGATTCACAGGTGAACACCCACCCCCGCCTCCGATGCCCCCCAAGGAATAAGTTAAAGCCGGTTTCCCAGACCCCGGCGTGGAGAAAGGGCGGCGTTGGGGTTTCCATCCCCAGCCGCCCTCGCCCGCCCGACGCCGCGCGGAGCTGGGGAGCATTCACAGGGCCGAGCGCGCCCCCGGGGCCGGGCAGGAAGGGGAGAGCACGGGAGCGCGCCGGGAGAGCGCGTGCGGGAGGCGAGGGCTGGCGGGGAAGCTTTTTTCCAAGGGTGTTGCTCACGTCCAGCTCAAACCAGTACAAGAAACCAACCTCCATTTTCTTTATTTTGTGGTTTTTTTCAGACTGTTAAAAAGAAAAAAAATTTTAAAAAGAGAAAATGACAAAAAAAAAAAAAATCCTGGTACATGAAATAAAGATTTTTTTTTATAACTTGGTCCTCGTTTATGTGCATTTATTGGGGAGGATTTATTGTCCCGCTATGCCAGAGGAGTACCTGGAAACCCAGCAAGGGAGTCGACTATTGCGGATAGTTTTGTCCTCTTAGGGAATTCAGCGGACAGTCTTGCTTCAACTGCTCTTCTCAAGCTGGTCTTCGAGATACAAGGAGGAAGGACGAGGCAAGAGGAGAGGGCTTTGCCACAACTTTTTTTAAAGTAAGTGCGGGTAAACTCAAGTCACACGTGCTAGCTTTCCCTGCTGCCCTCCAAAACATCTGTACCAGCTCCCATTTAGCCCCCAGCATCGCCCCTCCTGTCCCGTTCCTCCCGGGGTGGTGTTACCACAAGGGCTGATGCCCCAACTCCCACCCGAAGACAGGCTCTCATGGCAGACACCAAAACCCCGCCAGCGAGCTCAGAATTCACACAGGCTCGAGGGCTCAAAAAGGAAAGAGAAAAGAAAGTGGGCCCAAACGTTGTTTTGGGGTTTTGTTCAGCCACTCATAGGATTTCTGGTCCCCGCCAGCGAGCTCAGAATTCACACAGGCTCGAGGGCTCAAAAAGGAAAGAGAAAAGAAAGTGGGCCCAAACGTTGTTTTGGGGTTTTGTTCAGCCACTCATGGGATTTCTGGCGACTTCCTCAGCAGCTGGGTTGGCAGTGGCTGGCTGGTGGAAATGCTCGGCGTCAGAGCCCGGAGTGGGGGGTTATTTACAGCCGGAGCTGCAGACCCAGAAACGGGTGAGGTGGCAGCAGGGCAGGGAGGTGAGAGCCCCGCAAAGGGGACCGGGCTCCCGGCGTGTCCCCTCACTTCCCACCCCACCACCGGCAGGGGTGCCAACTCGCCGAGATCCCCTCGCCCTCCGCTGGGCTCCCGCTTGCCATAGAACCCTCCATGGCTTTCTGGAGCGGACCAGGATCCCCACCAGTCCCTGTCACCACCAGCTCGGAGGGGTGACAGGGAAGGGCAGCCACCTGAGTGACAAAGCCCCTCCAAAGTGCAGCCAGGGTCTGACCCATGGTGGGCGAGCGAGGCTACGAGCTGAATGAGCAAGTAGGACCAGGGGGGGTTAATTCGGCAGTGGCAGGGAGGCAGTGGGGTGAAGGCATACCCGGCCCCAGGTGTCCCAGCAGACACCGATGGGTTGCAGTGCAATCACAGCACCGCAGTCCTCCCCGTCGCCCAATGCACCTCGCACAGGTTGATACCGGTGCTCAGTATCTAGATCCCCCAGCCAGCACCTGTGGGTCCCCACTCTGGCCCTCCCCAGCCCCCCCCCATTCAGCCCACCCCTCCAGCTCACCGCTCTCCTTCGGGGCCCCAGTAGCACCTCACACCCACCCCACGCCTCCCCAGCGTGCCTGTCAGCAGACAGATTTCATGGGCCAGCCGGTGGGATGTTTCACTGCTGAGGTAATTGGGGGCACTCGCCGCCCCATTTCTGCTCCTCCTCCGGGGACCCTTCCTGGGACCAGCCTTGCCAAGAAGGAGGGCGCGAGGAGGGGAGAGGCAGCAAAGCAGGCCAGGCGCCGTCCGGGGGACGCCGGGGAGCTCCCGACCCTGCCACACGCACATCTAGGACACAGCTGCCTCCCCGCCCTGTCTAGCTCACAGACCCCAAAACCTTCTCACCCCCTCTTCATCCCCTTGCCTGGCTCTGAAGCCGCCACCAGTGCTGGGTGCCCCCACCCAGGGATGGGTGGGATGAGCTGGAGAACCCCCCGGCGCACCTTCTCCATTATCCCTGCGATGTTTCCAACCCTGGCCTGCTGCAGAGCTGGGGGCAAGAGGGTGCTCCCTCGTCCCCCTCCATGCCAGCGGGGCACTGGGGAGATGCAGCTCCACTGCCCGCACAATGCCCTGCCCGGAGAGGAGGTGGTGCATGGCTCAGCCCCCTAACACGACTCCATGACGTGCTCCTTCCTCGCAGGGTGCAGATGCTCTTACTTCTTCCTCTCTGCTTCTCCCCTTCTTCTGGCTTTTACAGGATGGGGCAACAGAGGGGGAGAGGCAGGGAAACAGCACCGGCCTGAAATTAGGCCTGGGGAATGGTGCTCAGACGGGGCCAGCCTCCATGCCATAATAATTAATACTAATACTCAGCACTTATACAGCACTTGTCATGTCAAAGCACTTTACAAACATTAACTAATTCCCCCTCTCTCCCAGGGTGCATTAACGCTTGTGTGGGTGCGAGACCCTAAAACGTTACTCTGTGCCCCTCCTGGGTCTCAGTGCTCCCCATGCCACTTGCTTGCCTCTCCCAGTGCTGGTTGTGTGCTCCGGCAGGCCCTGGATACACCAGGGGTGAGCAGGGCACCAGGGTCTTCTCCTCCGCAGCACAACCACTGAGGTCCTGGGCGTGCCGGAGACTTGTGACCGAGAGGTCAGTTAAAATATTTGGGTTGGAAAAGTCCCCCTGCCCCAGTCCCAAGCCCCAGCAGTGGGGGAGGAGAGCCAGCAGGCCCTTTGCAGTGTAGCAGGAGCAGAGATGCAGCAGGCAAAGTCTGGTGTGATGCCTTCAGCCAGGTCCCCGTCGCGCCCCAGCCCTGGGACCTCTCTAGAGGCCATGGCCGTTCCCTGCTTTCAGGTGCTGGAGGAAAGCAGCGCCCAGCCCTGCATGGGGCCGATTTCTGACAGCCCCCCCTCCAAATCTGAGGACACACTCTCAAGTGCTGGCCGGGGATGGGTGGAAGGCAGGCAGGGCATCTGCCAGGGAGAATGCTGCCCCGCTCAGACGGAGCAATCCCCTAGGATGGCTCTGGCAATGGATCCGAGCTCGAGAGAGTACGCTCTGCCCAAGGGATGCCGGCCCACACTGGCAGCGGTGCCAGGTTTTCCCTCGCTGTGGAAGCAGCATGGCTGAAGAGGGGGCTCCCTTTGGGGGACGGTACGGGGCAAGGGAGCGCTTCCTGCTGAGTAATGCCCAGCTCCTGGCGCTGGTCTGCTGTTAACATGTGCTCACCGCTCCCCTGCTGCCTCTCTCGTATGGACCACAGCCAGGGCTGGCTGGGTTTTGCTTCTGTGGGAGACACTCTGAGAGCTCCGCATGTGGGGAAACCCAGATACTTGGCTATTAAATTAACGCCGGGCATTTAACAGCATCATTGAAATGGTTTAAACACCTAGAAGTGGTAATTAGTAATAATGGTTTGGTGAGGGAGGAAATTAAGACCCAGGTACAGAGCCCAGTACTTTTCTCTGCAGATAATTTTTTGTGCCAAATGACTACAGAGAGAGGCCAAGCGTCAGACACACAAGCCTACTGTCTTGCTTGCGTGTGAGGACCGACACGGGGGAGGAAGGCAGGCACATATCTCACCTTTCAAAGGTCAAGCACTGAGGCCAAGGATGGAGAGAGGATCGAGAAGGAGAGCTGATGGAGAAAGGGGGTCAGTGACGAGGTACAGTCAACGTAACGAAAGCCACTAGGTGAGCAAGGCTGGCAAAGGACAGGCCAGCTGAATGTCCCGGAGGTCTGTCCGAGGGTAGAGGTGGCTCCAGACGACTCGGCATCCCTTCCCCGGGTGCCTTCCAGCTGCTGGGAGCTTCTCCCCTCCTCTCCCCACACCCTTCTGGACACCCCCGGGAGAGACAGAAAGAAGAGGCAACAGTTTTGGTAGGGAAGGGAGGCAGAGGGAGGGTAAATTTTAACAGTAGCCAAGGACCTATACAGATTAAGGGGATATGAATTAAATGCCACCAGCCTGAGTTTTCCCTCCAAGAGCAGAGAACAAGTCATCCCCCTCGCTAAGCTGAGGCATGGAGCTGGACCCCTTGGCAGCTGCTGCCCACTACGCTGCTCCTCACCCAGGTGAGGCATTTACAAGAAGTCCTGACCAAATCGAGCACAACCGCACCACATTTTGGTGGCTCCACAGAGCTCCAGAGCAGCCGTGCAGCCAAAATGACCCATGGAGAGAAGAAACTGCCCTCCAGCCCAGGAGAGGGGATAGAGACCTGTCCCCAGGACAAAAGACCTTTTCCTGGGGATCTGTGCCCACAAGGGTAGGGCAGGCACCTGTGATGTCCCAGTGTCCATGGTGGATACTCCATCCTAAAGCCATCAACCGCTGGCTGGTAGAGGGGTGCTGAGGACCTGCCGGGCATGAAGCTGCAGTGAGGACCCCGCCAGAGGAGCCAGGACCCCGATGGGCCACGCTGCTTCCCGCAGGAGCAGCAGCAGAGCCAGGAGACTGGCGGCTGGGTGCTCGCCCAGCCCTCGTCTTCCCGGGCTGGAAATCCCAGCTTTGACCTGGCTCCGGCAGAGCCAACGCAGACGTGAACCGTTCTGGCAGAGTGTTGTCATTTGTGCCGGTTTTACACCGCAGAGAGGAGTAACGTGCGAATGACGCCAAACCCTGCTGGCCTCATTTCGCTTGCCCTTTATTGAAACCTCCGGGCCTTGCACCCCAGGCACGGAGCGACAAGGGTGCAATGGCTCGTGTGTGCAACAAGGGCTCAGATGAGGCGTCCTTGGCATCCTCCGCAGCGGTCGGCTCTTGACATTGCGGAAAGTCCGCAGCGAAGGAGCCGGCTGGCCCGGCATCAGCAGCTTCAGCAAAGGGGTCAAGATACACGGGTATGGGCTGAGTCCCAGAAACAGATCCGCAAGGGCAAAGCGCTGGGCTTGGGAAAGGGTTTTCTCTGCTGCTGCTGCTCCTGCTGCTCCTCATCCCCTCGGGGATGGAGAAAACAAGAGACTTTGCTCTCTAGGGACCTGTCAATCAGAATATGCCACCACCGTTTAATTTGCTGAATTTATGCCTGCCAGGAGCGCCGGCCTGGCTGCCCATTCCTGAGCAGGCAGTGCCATCCCGTGGGACGAGCCTGGCACAGCAGCAGTCTCAAAGCCGCACTGTGCAGGAGCTGGAGCAGCCGCACAGCTCCCACAGGAGACACAGCTGTGGGACCCTTGCTCGGAGGGGACACAACGACGTAACTCACCTGGACATAGGGGTTCGGCTCACTCCCACCCGGGACAGGCTCCAGCCAGCCCAGTGGCAGGTATGATTTTAGGAGGGGAGGGCAGACAACAAAGCTCTTACCCTGAGCTTGGTGTGGCCGTGAGGTTTGAGGCAGCATGTCCCAGCAAGCTGCCTGCCATCAGCAAGCCTCCCCACTTCTCCTCCCCTAAATTTTGCAGCTCCTCTGGTCTCCCTCCGGCTGGTGCCGGGCCAGGGATTCTCCAGGAGTGTTTAGCGGGGAGATACTTCACATGTGCAGAGAAAAGAGAAATCCCATGGAGCAGTTCCCAGGTCAGGGAGCCCCATGGCTGCCCCACATCTCCTCCTGCCACTGCTGCTCTCCCCTGAGGGCTTGGTGCTGCTTGTGGGCCCTTTTGGGGAGTGAGTGGTACAGGGAAGGTCCCTTCCCAGGCCCAGCCCCTTCCCATCGCCTCCTGCAGAGGCCACAGCAAAGCCTGGACCCAACCTTGGGAGTCAGCTGCGACCTTGGTGAGTGCCTCATCCAGAGGGACAGGCTGCGGACAGGGAAGAGGAGAGAAAGACTGACCTTGGGCTGCTGCAGTGGGAGCTTTCTGGAGCAAGGTTGAGAGTGCGCATCCTCCCTGGCTGCCTCGGGGTGCCTGACGCCCGATGGGGGACATACGCAGCATGGCTTTGCCAGAAGGGACAAAAGTGCCCGGCTGACTCCTCCAAAGACAGAAGAGAGCAGATGGTGCTGAAATCTGCTCAAGAGGAGAGGAAGGAATAGCCCCGAGGCTCCGCACTCCCTGTACCCTGAGAGGCACATTTGTCCCCGGCCAAGCACGTCAGCCAGCCATGTCTCTGACTTACTGAGGGGCAGGGAAGCGAATGGCAACCGTGGGCTCGCTGGGCTGCTGTGTGTCCCTTGCCACTGTTCTCTTTTGTGAGGACTTTCCTGAGAGTCCCTGGGAGGGGAGCAGCATGTCATTCATAGGTAGCATCTGCATTCGACTCCTTACTGCCTTGATAACTAGGTCTTGTGCAAAAGGGGTTCAACTCTGCTCACTAGCAGAAATCGCTTGGACTCTCTTTCTGCCTAGACCTCTTCGCCTGGCTGGCATAAACAGTAAGCTTTCCAGAGGAGGGACCAGCCAGGCAGGAGCATTTACAGAGCATGTTTAGCCCCAGAAGATTCTGATTTTTCACGGAGGTTACCGTAACACTGATGATGTTGAACTGTGGGCACTCCTGTGCTGGGCAAGGGCCCTTGTAAAGAAAGCCCATGTTGCCTGCGGTTCTGCTCACACACACCAGGATCCTTTGCAGAGCAGCGCTGAATATAACTCAGGCACTGGAGAACCGCAGGGCACGGAGCGGGGCTCCCGCAGCTGAAAAGCAAACCGCTAACTCAGTGGTGAGAAGGCATGGTGTGCCTCGCACCCTCCATCACCTGGGGCCCCATCCGCTTTCCCGCTGTTGGTCCGGCTGGATCTGCGCAGCATTTCCCAGATGCAGCAGCCGTGACCTGCTTCTGCCTCTGTTGACACGGTTCCCCATCACCACGGTAGCCTGTATCTCTAACGTTTCCCCTCCGGTGAGGCAGGGAAATGTTGCCCCTCCCTGCGTGGCACAGAGATGCCAAGCTCCCACTGGGGAGGCTTACCAGGGTGGCCTGGAGGACAGCCGCAGAGCGGGGATTTGCAGCTCAGCCTGTGGACTCCCAAGCTCATACTCCAGCCACTGCACCAGCCTTCCTCTCCTTCTGCAGGCTCGGAGCCAGCAGGGACACTGCCGGCGCCAGCTGCTGTAATTGAGCTTTGTAGAATAAACTTGTGGAATTAGCCTGTTGGCTGCTGGGATAAAATCCAGCGCTGAGTGCAGATCAAAGGAGGCAATCTTGCTGACAGTTTGCAGGGAGGCAGCCGGACCCGAGCTCCTTCTACAGCTCTGGAAAGGGCAGTGTTCAGCAGCCGAGGACAAGGACGGAGCGTGATACACGCTGCCTCTTCGACGATACACGTGGTCCAGGCCCTGCTGGTCAAAGCTACAGAAGCCTTGGGAGAGACCTGACACTGGCGATAAAAATGGTCAAAGCCAGGCAAGAGACAAGACTAATTCAGAGAAAGACAATTTTTGGGTGCGTCATAAATTTGTGGCTTTTCCTGGTAGCATGGAAGGAGCAGACAACGCAAGGCCAGGCTCTGAGCCCAGCCCACAGAAGCAACACGGTTTAAGAAGGGGAAGCCCTGTCCTTGAGGGCAAGGCAGTCCGGCCCAGCAGCTGTGGGGAGAGCTCAGCATGGCAGGAGGAGGAAGAGGGAGAAAGCCTCAGAGTGAAAGCGCTATCCGCTACCAAGAATAATAAAATCAGCACATTCCCTGCGTGGACCTTACCGTACGGACGTGGCTGGTCTGAACGCACACAGCAAATCTGCCAGGTGCCACCTGCTCCCAGTCCCGCTAGATCACACAGACAGCAAATTAAAAATTAGATTTGCAGCACGTGCAGAGTAAAGTTGCTCTATGGCCATTTTTCCAGGGTTCCTGAAAATCCGATCCTGCATTTCCCCAAAAAAGCTGGCAAGCAACTGCCACTTGAGGAGGGCAGGTTTATAGTTCAGCCCGCAGGGCGCCCGGGAGAGGGATGAAGGAGCTGGAAAGGAGGCCACACATCGCAGCAAAGCACCTGGCCCAGGAGAACAGCAGACCGAAAAGGCAGATAAAAGTGCGACGGGAAAGACGGGATGCGAAGAGGAAGGCCAGCAAAGGATGGAGGGCTTCTCAGCCTGTGAACACCAGCCCATGGCAGCAGCCAGTTCATATACGGCCAAGGATGGTTGCAACCAGAGCCCAGGAGCCAGCAGTGAGTTTTGCTGCTTTAAAGACGACGACGATGACTTTGGAAGAAGAGTCTGACCTGAAGAGGTGTGTAAACGTCAGGCTTCTCCGCAGGGGGAAAGTGTTAAGGCTGAAGACTACTTCCCTTGGTTTCTGGGTTTGTCAAGAGGCGCAGGGCAGTGGAGACTAAGCATACGGCACAGGCGTACGGTGTGGAAAAAGAATCCAACTGGCTATTTTTGCTGCATTTGTTATGAGAAAAGGAACTACTGGAAAATAGTGTTTTAATGTGAACATTAGTCTTCCAATCCTCACCTGCCTCTTTGAGTGGAAGTACGGTCACGCAAGCTGGAAAGCAACCGGTCTAAAGGCTCCCCAACGAGCCCCGAACTGCGGTGGAGGCTGATGGCGGTGAAGGTTTTGGACTGGGACAGCCACGGTGCTGGAACAAGCCCCTCTTTTACGGATCTGCTAACGCCAGCACAGAGCCCAAAAATGGAGAAGTGGGAGACAAGAATGGAAAACCAGATGGGAGCAATTTATCCTGGCTGTTCTCATGAGCATCTTCCAGGGAAGAGTGATTAGCCTTATTAACTGATTAAGCGATTAATTAACTGATGAACTGAAATTATGGATCAAGGATCAAATGATTGCAAGCAAGTGTATTTTGAGTACTTTTCCGGGAAACGGCGTACCTCACGTGCCTTTAACGAACGCCAGAGGCCAGGTGGCGAACCGTTTGCGGCAGCGGTGCGCGGGGTCAGCGAGACAGGACGAGAGGCGCACGCAGCTGCGGGGCCCCGGCCGCAGCACGGCACAGGAGACGGGAGGTGCAGTGCCTGGCGCAAAGCGGAAGGCGAGACAGACCCGCTCCCTCTCCTCTCCTAGTAAATTTGCCCTAAATGTGGCAGCAAATCTTACCTTCTTCAAGACTGGATTTTTTTCTTAGAACCCTTGATATGAAACTGGAGGGTTACGTCCGTGCCCAGAGGAGCACTTCTCCCACACCAGGCACTCCCTACACATGCTCTCTCCTCTGACCCACGCCTATACCCAACTCTGTCCCCAGAAAAGGAAGTCTGATGGGCTAAGCCCAAACTGCACATGATCTGTCATCTCTGGGAGACAGCAGCGGCGTCACATTCTCTTTTAAGCGCTCACGCAGGCTCAGGAGCGAAGAGGAAGCTGTGGAAAGGAAGGGCTTTCAGTCTATCAGTCTGTTTATCATCGCTTCTCTTCATTCATTCCTTAGTCCAGTTTTCTCTTCAGGACTTCTTGCTCCTTTTATCACCATCTCCTGAGCAGGACATGAGCATGGCAACTCCTTCCACCAGTCAGCCCCTCTGAGCCTGTTTAGCCCGCTGCCCCAGCTGGGGAGGGCGAGGGACGGGCGCTGCGGGGGTTACCTGGAGCTGGGATCACACAGAGCCACCGCCAGCGACCAGTGAGGCAGTTCCAGCACTAATGATGTTTGTCTCTAAAAAGGCTGTTTAGGTGAGACAGTTACAAATTCTATTTTA